CAACTAACATGGTTAACAATGATAAAATAAAGTTCATGAAATTTACTCAGTTAAATAAAAACAAAAGTACATACTAATGACCAATCATATTAAGATAGGTCATGCAGTCCAGGGTAGGCGAAGATTGAAGTCTATTGATTTTTGTACACACAGTTTAGGCTGTATGTGATTAATCCAAAGTGCTTCCATCACCTTCAATAACCTTGAATTAGAGTTATGTGAAATAATTGTGAAACAGTCATTAATATTTATTTTGTGACCAGACATTAATAAGTGTTTTGCAATGGATGATGCTGGATTTCTATTAAGATTAATCGCGTTAGGATTTTCGATATGATTTACTAGCCATTTTGGAATATGTTCTTTTCGACGACATTGGAACATTCTGTTAGTTCTACCTATATAGGTGTCACCGCAGCTGCAGGTGAACTTGTAGATACAGTTTGAAGTAGAGTCCACAGAATTTCGTCCTTTAATCGTAGGAACAGGGATCGAAAATGTTCGGCAAGTGAGAAAAAGAGATGCGGCGTAGAATGTGCGTTTGATGGCTGATCGAAGTCTTTGAGTTGTCAACTGCATAATCTGGTCGCCCTTGAATGGTAGATTAATAAAGATGGCTTTCTTTGGTACAGAAGCTGTCTTTTCGAGATGTGGTTTTTCTTTGCTGTGACAAGTGATAAAGCTCTCCGGATAACCATTAGCTAATAAAACTGAATGTACATGTCGAAGCTCATCCATCAGTGTGTCACTCGTGCATATTTTTCGGGCCCTTGAGAACAAACATTTCACTAGGGAACGTTTATACTGGATAGGAACAAAACTGGTAAAATGAAGATATTGTCCAGTCCATGTTTGTTTACGAAAAATAGAGCGCTGAATCGTTCCATCATTTCTCCTAATCATAGTAATATCCAGGAAACCGAGTTTGTTATTCGATTCTAGTTCGGAAGTCACTCGAATATTTGGATGAATATGATTAAATAGAGTAATGAAGTTTTCAATAGATTTACTATTATTACCAATAATAAGAGTATCATCTACATAACGTTTATACAGCATAAATCCTCCAAGCATACCTTGCATTTGTTTCTCTAATTTCGACATAAATATATCTGCTAACAGGGGCCCCAGAGGGCTCCCCATCGCAACACCATCGATTTGTTTATATGCCTTTTCTTGGAATGTGAATCTAATATTTTCTGTACACATTAAGATTATGTCTTTGATGTAAGTGACGGGAATGGGTAAGTTTATGCCGTTGCTTGTGATGTAATCGCAAATAAAATCAACAGTTTCATGAAGGGGAACATTGGTGAATAAAGATTCTATGTCAATTGAACACATAACCTTTTCCTTAATGTTCAAGGTGTCCAGCATTTCTGTAAGATCAAATGAACTTTTTACAGAATGATTTGATAATGAGTCTCTTACAGGCGTAAGGACCTCTGTAATCCATTTGGCGATTTTATGATAAGGAGAATTTGACATGTCTAAGATGGGTCTCAGTGGGTTCCCAGTTTTGTGGATCTTCGGAAGACCATAAAGCTGAGGAGTATGTGACCCAATTGGTTTAAGTTGTTTATAAAGTTTTTCATTTATAAAACCATGCATCAGTAAAATCTGAAGCTGACGATTGATCTGCTTTTCCATAAGCAGCACGTTATCAGTAGCATTGTCCAGCAGAAATTTGGACTGATCTTTGAGGATATCGTTCATTTTATTTTGATAATCCGATTTGTTCATAATGACAACGCCTTCTCCCTTATCAGGTTTAAGGATCACAAGATTATCTTTTTCGATTAATTCCTTAAGTGCGGCGTGGTGTTCTTTTGATAAACCATTTTTCTGGTGTATTCTAGCATTTAGAAATTGATGAGAAATGTCCACCAGTTTAACTTTAAACCAGTCCAGATTATCTCTACTAGAGGGAGTTAAATCAGAGATTTGGTCATACAGGTTTTCATACTGTGACTGGACTTCCATTTTGTTAATTTTCATGGGAATAGTTTTGTATTTCATTCCATAAGATAATGCTTCCAAATGTAGTTGGGATAGAGTGCATGTAGATAAATTAATTATATGTTTGTAGATATCCTGAGGAAATTCCAAAGTATGATTCGAGTCTTTCAAAGATTTTGTTAATTTTTCTTCGGTAGAACTTATGGTCTTTTTTACCATATCATTGCAAAATACTGTGAATTTAATTCGACATACTAAAGATAAATTATCCAAAACGGGATTTAGTCCTTGATGTGTTTCAATAAATTTCGAAAGTTTGTCATTAATTTCATCAATTTCTAATTCAGCAAGATGCTGAAGGTTGGAGAGTGAAGATTTTGACTTACTCCGACGTAGTGATTTGTGAAATGATATAGGATAATGTTTACTTTCTATGCAGTTGCGATAAAATCTTAATTGTTCACGCTGAATTACAATTTTACATCTCAGATTTAGAAGACGGTTCAGAAGTCTTATAGTATCTTTCGGGAGCCTTCGTTTGAGAAAATTAAAACAATTAGTCCCTTTGATAAATTTGAACAAGGCATTAAGAAGACAAATTTCGCGAGATGATATCATTTCGTAGTTTCTTTACAACCGCTTTACAACTAACATGGTTAACATAAATGACTAGAAATTGAGCGTTGGTCAGGTCAATTAAAAAGGTAGTGAGGTGTAGAAATTAAATCGGGTGGGGGGTAGAGAACAAGAATTTGAAAATGCAAAATATTACAATTAAGAAGACAAAATAATACTAATGAAGAAACAGAAAAAAAGATTAGGTAAAATTCACTCTTCAGGTAATAAGATAGATTAAGTCCATTGCAAGTGTAGTGATTGAACGAACTTCTTCTGTATGCAGAGTTCAGGGTTTAGCAAGTGAATCGCCATTGCTTCTGCTTCAGTTTGAAGAAGTCTGATTCGTACACCTATAGGAAGACTACTTGTTGCTCTGTAAACTACTTTGAAGTTTGTTTGGGGTGCAGCTTGGTGTCCGGATTCTATCAGGTGTTCTAAGATGGAGCTACGGCGACATCGTTTTTCTCCTTTGTAAAACCATGCTGGTAAGTGTTCGATGATACGCTTGGGAAGCGAGCGCTGGGTACGGCCGACATACCTGGCTCCACACGAGCAGGTGAATTGATAAATACACATTGATGAGGCTAACAATGGTAGCTTATCCTTCACGTTCATATGAATCATAGGTTTTTTAAGGAAAGTTAGTCGTAGTTCAGCTGCGAAGAAGGTCTTCTTGAGTGAGCGTGACAGTCGATTTTTTAGTGTTTCCGCAGATATATCTCCAATTACTTTTACTATTTGCTACCTAAAAAACCTTTGGACTATACAGCTGCTGAATAGGACTGTTGGAACAGTTTAGCATTTTTGATATCTTATTAGTTCTGAACAGTAAAACAGATTCTGCCACATTAAAAAAAGGGTTTTGATGTTGCTGGAATATACTTTTTGTCTGTGAGTGACTCTCAGAAGTTTGACTAGTCATACAGAGTAACTCATCGATTAGTTTCCTTAGTTCAGAAAAAAATACTTAAGTTTTGTCACCACCCACCACTTAAAGGATGTCAACAACTCAACATTTTTAGTGTATTTCCACTATCTATATTCTCAAAAGTCATAATAATATGTAACCAAATACAATGCTGATAAAATGTTGTTTTTTTTCATGCCAGAGACAATTTGGTGTTTTAGATTTAAAATCAAAGGAACAAATAAAAATAGAAAATTATAAATATTTGTATTTCGTAATTTCTTAGGATTCCGAAACTTTCTAATGGTCTTCAGTTAAAGAAATTAAATGGAGACATCACCTTTTGTGCAGGTGAAATGATAGCGAATGAGCGGATTTCTACTTTTTTTTTAGTAAAATGAACAAGTACCGTTTGTACAAAATTGCATTGCTCGATTGTAGTTGAAAAGTAGTGTCAGATTTAATATATTGAAAAAACACAGAGACAAAGAGATTATAGAACAGCATAGGGAGAGATATTGGAAATCAATTTTGTTTCGACTTATACAAAATGGTGAGTTAAGTAGCTGAAAGTTAAGTAGCTTAATGCTAGTAAAGAGGAAAGGTTGGGCGTGGGGCTAGCAACCCCATCCTGTAAAATAAACGCTGCTATAGAAACTTCAAACTACTAGCTTGAAGCCCTATATTCCACTGGGGAACGTGAAGGATAAAAAAAAGTAGCTGAAAGATTCAACAAAGAAATAATACATAATCATTTATCCAAATATTATGGGACTTTTTCTGTCAGGTTATTTATTATACAAAGCAGAACTGAGAAATGTCTAAAAACATGAGTTGAATACAGTCTCGACAGAACAGTCAGAACACAGAGTTCTAATAACCACAGTGATGACACTTTTCCAACTGATAAGTTGTGCACTCAATGTCCAACTTTTGAATGGACTTCAAACTTTACGTTGATTTATTTCAAACAGATCTCATTTACACTATCTCCTCTCATGTACTATAAACAGAATCGCCTAATCACTCAGGTATTTACCATGACTGCTCACTATGAAAAGAGGGATGTGTAATTTAGAAGGCCTATTGTGAAACAGAGATATAAACGATAGTCTTAACAAGGTTTATTTGTCTTTTTACGCTAAACAAACAGATCAATTAATTGTTAAATGATTTCTGTCTTTTTATTTTCACAAATATGTAAATATATGTTTACACAATAAGGTGTAATTTAGTAAGTAATCAGTTGTTGTCTATAAAAACGTACATATATATATATATATATGTATGCATAACGTAATGCCAACGTATTACGTCATACATAAGCACATATTTTAAGCACAGAAAAAACAGAATCAGAAAGTTTTTAAGAATATTTAACAGCCATTTACGTGTTTCATTTATTTTATTCTAAAGATTGTACAAGTTATCACATATATATATGCATAATTGTTCATCGTGAACACGGACGATTGTCTTTGTGGTTATAGTTAGATTCCTGTAGTACTGCATTGATTTAAGCAGAAGCTAACAGATTTGCTGAAAGTATATACTGGTATCTGCTTAAAATAAAGACAAACATTTTAGCCTGAAACGAAAACAAAGAAAAATGATCATAATGGTATTTTTCTTCAAAAATACATCATGAACTAAAAGCATGAAAATCATCGAGTGATAAGTTCCATTTTCATATTGTCTTGATTTCCAAAGTATATATTCCACGTTCGCTTACTCAGCAGATGGAATTCTATTCTTCACACAGTTACGATTCCAATGACCTATAAACACTTGTGCCACTTTTTTCTTGTGTCAAACATGTTATCACAACCAAATGAGATAATCATTTGCTACTAAGGATACCTGAAGTCACTTTAGAGCTGTAGACTGATTATACTTCAATTGATGATTTAAATTATTGGGGTTAAGCTTCACAGTTCTATACACTTAAGGGTACTGTCTTAATTAACAAACTTTTTCTACTTAATGGACAGATGATAACATGGTTTCTTCACTTCAAAAGGTGACATACTTTAATAAAATTGCAGTTGACAGTTTTCCTTCCTTCATGTCCCCCAGCGAAACATAAAGCCTCAAGCTAGTGGCTTGAGGTTTCTGTAGCAGTGTTTATTTTACAGGATGGGGTTGCTAGCCTCATGCCCAACCTTTCCTCTTTACCAGTATTATTTCTGGCTTAGCGAAGTAAAGGAGTGCGTCGGATGGGGATCGAACACCGGACCATGTGCATGGTCGGCGAGCGTCCTAACCGTTATGCCACCGACGAGCAGTTAACATTGGAACTATTTAATCCTAGCACCAGCTATTATATTCATCCTAACGTAAAACGTCATTCCGTTTTATTCACACAAGTGCATCTATGTCCCCTGAATAAATACCACCTACTGTGGTGAGAGCAGCCTGCTAGCCAATTGGTTGACATTAATCTACGTCAATGTCTAGGTCACTAATTTGGGCCGTGAGAAAATATGAACAAGGCTGTTTCAACAACCAATCACAGCAAACTTAAACGTGGGCAAATATGATTTGCAGATAGATGGCTCCACTTTCCGAAAACAACCAATCAGAAGACTGCGTTTGTCCACTTGAATAGGCTATAACAATGTATGTGAAATTTATATAAATACGTGTTGATTTTCGTAATAAAACGATCTGTTGCCTGGCCCTTGTCTTCTGTTGTTACACTACTAATATTACTTTAATTTACCAAAAATCAAGCAAACGAACATTTATTTTGATTCTAGTCACGAGAAGGCAGCCGAAGGTAGTTCATAAGCCTTAGGAAAGTTTGCTTGTTATAACAGTCTGAGATGTTTAAATGGCCATACATCGATTAGGAAATCACTTGGAATCACTTCAATCAGACTGTCAGGCTCTAGACATGGGTGTACGCGACTTTCAATCTCTCACTTCACTGAAAACTTAAAATTATGTAACATCTTTGTAGGTCACCGCAAGCCTTGGAAACTATAAAGTAAAGTATTATTACTCCGGATAAGTTTACTAAGACATAGCAAATTGTGATGCAGCAATACTAAGGGGATGACTTTTCAAACACAGTTTATTGGTTATAATCGAATCAAAGTAGTCATATCCTTATATCTTGGATTGGTGTTGCATCTCTTTTTTACAATGAAATTGACGACAGAAGTCTCTTTGAACGGAGTTTTTGCCCTTGGGGATCTCTGTTATGTACTGCTGCTGAGTGAGTTAATAGTCCTGACGCAAGAAGGCGGAAATCAAAAAACCACCAGGTTCACGATGATACTTGTATTTTCCAAACAACAAGGAAAATCAATGTCACACAAGTGTGTGAGTAAAATAGTAGGAACGTCCGAACAAGTGTGTGAACACAAGTGTATGAGCGAATGTTCAAAAATGAATGAATCAATAGACAGTCTTTACATGATTGTTAATTATAATGGAATATCGATCCATATATACATAGCAAAATATACCAGACTGTCAAACAAACACACATACATCAATCTCCATTCCACGACTGATTCAAGTAGTATCATTTAATCTTTCTGATCAGCCAATCGAGATATCACCATAATGAATCTCATTCTACAGTACGCACCCACCGGGGTTTGAACCCAGGACCAGGTGAGTGCGTACTGCTGAAAAGTCCAAAACTAGGACGGAGGAAACAGCTGTCCAGTACTCCCTGCAGGTTTCCCAATGGTTCTCCAACTGATATCAGCTCATGATGAAATCCTCAATGCAATCAAACACAAAATCCCTACAAAACCAATACTTGAGAATTTCATTCTATCGAGATACAAAATAATCATGATTTGAATACTAATATGCATAGTAATGATGTAATGAAATGTTTAATCACTTTTCACTATATCGATATGCTTATATATGAGATGAATTTTATTCACACAATTAATACTTAGAGTTAAGCAGGAAAACTTAATAAAAGCGACTTACTTGTTCTAATTGGAAAATTAACTGTTGACCGTCGCTTGTTGTTAGACGTACAGCACCCTGACAGCTGTAATCATTTTCATCTTTATAACTGACCTATCAGATAAGACAGTTTAAGTGGATTTACATAAAAGAGAGTGAACACTGTTAAAGCCTTAATTATTTTCTACCTCAAAAATAATATATATATATATATAAATCAATGGGTTAAAATAATCAAAATTATGTGAGAGGAGAATAACTGACGCGTTGAAACTATCAGGAGCCTTGCAGTCACTGTATACCGACTTGAGTTTCAGATTCACTGAGAACAGATTACAGCATCAGTGAAGGTATCACTTTATAACTACTACAGTTTAGCAACTAAACGAATTTAACATAATCTTCTATATGTTCATTGAGGCAGGTTCAATTAGTCTGTACAAAAAATCTAGCTTGTCTAATGTTTCGCTATTCCATCGGTTGACGATTGTTGTTACCCTTTCTGTAAAGCTGGAAATGATTCGACGTTCAATTATTAAAAATAAAAGAATAGAATAAATAAGTCCAATTTAATCTTTTGATTTTTCGTGATGGTATAAACCACTGAGTGATATGAATATTTGGAAACCACTCATATCCAACAGCGATGCTTTTCAGCCAAGTCAAGCTGATCTAAGCACTGGATGACTGATAGACTTCGGTAGGTAGTAAGTTATGACAAACTGCTACGATCATATAAGTATTCAGGTGATGTTGAACATGCTAACAAGCTATTCAGCGATATAAATTTTAACATAACGTGGTACGCTGTTGTATTGTAATACACCTATCTCCTTTAAATGACCAGCCAATAAGCCTTTCACAAGATAATTAACATGTGATTAGTTACAGGATTTCATCATGAGCTGACATTGGTTAGAGAACCATTGGAAAACCGGGAAGTGTTGCACAGCGGTTTCGTCCTAGTTTGGGACTCTTCATCAGTACGCACCACCAGGGTTCGAACCCACGACCTTCTGGTTACAAGGCGAGCTTGTATACCATTAAGCCACTGACATCCGATCCAATGGCCAGCCCATGAATTCTAATTCCTGCCAATTGACGACATAGCGCGACCCCTAGCCTATGTCTTCGGCAAGTATTTGTCCTCACACCCGACCTGCTGCACCCTAGTGGTCATGAACATGTGATTAATCAATAACTTTTCATAAGGTCAATAAACGTAAACTATTTAAGCTGGACGCCATTCATTATTAGTAAACCTGACAGGGATGTTACAAGACTAATCCTTCTCTCCTAACTGTATTTCATTTATGATTAAAAGGCTGCTCTTCAAAATTCAAAATACCGAAGAAGTGAGGATGAAATTCGTAAATGAAGATCAGCTTCCAGAGGGTTGATTAATCTAAACAGTCACAGAACCCAAGGTCTAGCCTTCATGCTTGTTGATCTCATAAAATCTCACATGAGATATCGATTAGTCCTTAAATGGCAGTTTAAAGCAGTTAAAGTAGTAGTTACCATACCAGTAATTAAATTTTCGGAATGTGTTTAAGGCAAAACAATGACTAAACGTTAAAACTTCCAGTATTGTTATGATGTGACAAAAATACTGAAAAATTAAAGTTCACTTCATTGGCTATCATTGGGTATGTGTGCTTAAAGTAGGTAAAATATAATCTTATTGGGATCAACTTAAACACATAAAAGGAATAATTTGTATACTATCGAATGCCAAACCAATTATGTTATAACAGCATATTTCTGTTCAGTTACCTGTAGACTTAAGAAAGTGGCATAAGCCGACTTGCATTTCATTTCACTCTACATATTAGGGTTTCCAGTTCAAATGTTTCCTTTGTCATTAGGTCAGGTGTAAAGTAATGGAAACATGTTACTATTCTTTTATAAGTGAGTTTTATACTAAAAGACTTAACAATTCTATCTGAGATTCAATCCCGAGTTGTATTCATTCACCAAAATTCTATTTTTATATCATAAACTTAAAGAATGACATGAAATAATAAATATTTCTGTACGTTTATATTTCAGACTGCATATATCTCACCCTTGTACTTGCAACATCTTCATAGGCGAAATTCTGATAACATTCGTTGGATGAAGGATTTAAAATATGAATGCCTGATTTGGCTAAAGCGATAATTACTTGAGGATTTGGTAAACTTTGTGATACACCACTTTCAACAAAAGCAAGGAAACAATAGGATCCAAAAAGTGTCCAATCTCTGATTGAAGCTGTAAAATTATCAGTGAAAATGGACTTGTTACTTTAGTAAGAAAAGTTTATAATTCATTTTGAAAAAGGAAATTAAATTTCACGTAATACTTAGTAAAAATTATTTAAAGAGATTTCAACACTGGATGGGACAATTACTCACCCCATGAACTATGTAACGCATTTGTTTAAACTAGTCAAGTAATGTCTGTAATTAATAGGAATAAAGTGTCAGCTTGAAGGCGTTTACTTCAGAAATATACCAATATTCGTTACTACCAAAGTATCGGTTGCTTAAGATCCCTACTAAATATGTTCAGTGCTGATAAGAAATATCTTCTATATCCAACGTATTATTTCACTGATACTTGAGTTATGAAGGGATCATCCAATTCGCAAAGTGATGATCAAAGGTGAAAATCTGAGGAGAAAACCTATTTTCACATTCGTCTATAGGAGAAAAGAACTGATGATGAAGAAAAATAGCAGTTAATTGGTTTTTGTAGGTATTTTGCTTGATTGGTTGGAAGATATTATCATGGGCTAACATCAATTAGAGAACCATTGGAAAACCTGGGAATACTGGACAGCTGTTTCGTCTTAGTTTGGGACTCTGCATCAGTACGCACCCACCAGGGTTCGAGATCGCCTTGTAACCAGAAAGTCCTGGGTTCGAAGCCCAACGAGTACATACTGATGAAGAGTCCCAAAGTAGAACGAAACAGCTATCCAGTACTCTCAGCTGGTTTTCCAATGGTTCTCTAACTCCTGTTAGCTCATGATGAAATCCTCCAACCAGAAATAACAATGATGCATAGTTTCACTTTAAAACACAGAGAATGCAACACAGTATAAAAATAAAAATCTATCAGGCTAAAATAATACTTCCCGTAGTTTAGTGGATATGGTACATTACAACAACGAAGCATTAAATAACAACTCTTTCATTTGAAATCTCGGAAACCTCGGCAAATAAAGGTGGTGAAGTTCCATATTGTCTTAGTATCTTCTATTCTATAGCTTCCAAAGTAGAAAGAATTCTAAAATACTAGGGGGAAGATGAATAAGTAAATCTCTTCTGCATAAAACTACATACTACTGATTAAGTGAAATAAGTATTCGCATACCGTCCATATCAACCAACAGAGCTTGCTAGCCAGATAGAGCGATCTGAACACTGAACAACCATTTCGCTCATTTTAGGCTGAGCGAAATTGCAAATTGTGAATCTGATTTAACGGGAGGTTTTGTTGCTAAGATCTGTGGATTGACTGAACTCTTCATGCCTTCATATGAATTTGTGTCACTCTTGTGATACAAACGAACGTGATGTGTGATCACATCGTCATGAATAGGCTTAATTTATATTTCAGACAGCCTTGGTGTATTATGTTCACAAATTCTGTGATGAACATACCTATATATATATATATATATATATATATATATATATATATATATATATATATATATATGCCTATATACCCCAAAGATTCTGAGGCGATAGATACATATTCAGTAGACAAAGTAGGAGGAGTGTCATTATTTCTTGCATCTAGAATCACCGGTTTGTGGAAGGTAAAACACAACTAAGCACTAAAGAGTATTTTCCGCATAGCCACGTTTTGGTGTTATGTCACAATCTCACAGATAATACTACTGACAGACTGACAGAAGGAAGAAATCAGTTCCAACTTTAGGATTTCTAGTTCAGATACTTTCAAACACGTAAAAAGTGGATAGTAACGACCTTCGTCATTATGGTATGAATTTTACTCAAAGTGCTACCTATTCTACAAGGTTTCCTTATATCAGCTGATGAACAGCACGAGAAATGAAAACAAACCATATTTTTATCGGTTTAGGTGCTTCTTAGTAACTAGTTACATAAAACATACATTTAGAAAACCATAAAGTCTTAACGATATTCAAAAACTGATTGACAAACTCCAGTCACCTGTTAGAAATAGACAGTAAAGTTAGTTATCACCTGACAACTATAACTCTGACAATTCATGGATGTATTAAGCCTAATTTGGTTTCCACATAAGATCCACTTCACATCTGATTTAGGTAAGTTATGTAAAGAGACAGGAGAAACACTGGCTCACTATCGACAATTGGAAACTAATAGAAGAGAGAAGGACAGTGAAACAAAAGATTATCCAGTGCACCGACGAGAAACAAAAACAGTAGTTGAATGCAAGCTACAATACGCTGAACATAAGAATGAAAAAGAGTGCCAGGGAAGACAAAAGAAAATATTATGAGACCATGGAAAGTGAAGCACAACAAGCTCCAGGCAAAGGAGACCTCGTCACACTCTACCAAACAACAAGGGACTTGTCGGGCAAAAGTTCGACACACATTAGGCCAGTAAAAGATGACAATCGAAAGTCAATCACCAAAGAGGTGGAGCAAAGAAAACACTGGGCTAAACACTTCAAAAGACTTCTAAATCGACCGCTACCTACAACGCACACAACAATAACAACAACGGAAGCACAACTACCAGTGAACATCGTCCCCGACGAAATCAGAAGTCCTGAATGCAATCAAGATGCTAAAAGCTGGAAAAGCACCAGGACCAGATGGAATCCCAGCAGAAGCTTTGAAAATGGACCCAGAGACAACGGCGGACTTGATGACGCCACTGCTGGAGAAGGTGCGGAAAGAGGGCAGAGTACCTGAGAACTGGAAGAAAAGACACTTATTCAAACTACCAAAGAAAGGAGACCTAAGTCAATGCAAAAACTGGCGTGGAATTATGCTCCTGTCCATCCCAAGCAAAATACTAAGCCGCATCATCCTGAGGCGAATCAAACAAACCCTGGATGAAAAACTTCGACCGGAACAAGCTGCATTCAGGAGAAACAAGTCATGTATTAATCAAATCGCCACAATACGGATCATCATTGAATAGAGCTTGGAATGGCAGTCACCTCTCCACCTCATTCAACTTCATCGACTTCGAAAAGACCTTCGACAGCGTCGATCGAGAAGTCATTTGGCAACTACTTCGCTACTACGGGGTCCCATCGACAATTATACATCTCATCCAACAGTTATACGACAATGCTGCATGCCAAGTAATCCACAACGGGAAAATTACGGAAGCCTTCGAAGTGAGGACGGGAGTGAGACAAGGCTGCCTACTATCGCCAATGATTTTCTTGATTACATTATATTGGATAATGTGACAAACAGCTGGCAATGAGGAAACAGGTATAAAATGGACTCACACAAAAGACTTGGAGGATCTGGACTTCGCCGATGATGATATATGCCTGATTTCCCACAAACTGGAAGATATGCAAGTCAAAAGCAACAAGCTGGCAGAAGAAGAATCAAAGATAGGACTTCCAGTGAACATAGAGAAAACAGAGGTGATGAAGATTCATGGACAACACCAACAGCAACAACAACAACAAACAACAAACAGCAATGGGAGGAACTTCAAAGAAACAACCTCTTTTACCCACCTACCTGGGAAGCATCATTTCAACTACAGGCGGAACTGATGAGGATATCAAAGCCAGAATCGGAAAAGCAAGACAAGCTTTCACCACTCTTAAGTTTATGTGGAGGTCAACAGCACTCACCATCAAAAATAAGATCTGGATCTTCAACTCCAATATGAAGACAGTCAGTGCTACTATACGGATCAGAGACTTGCACTGCGCGTCATGAAGAGCATCTCAAACAAACTTCAGACCTTCATTAACAGTTGTCTTTGCTCAATACTCAAGATCAGGTGGCCGGCCAGAAAAGATCAACAACAGGGATCTTTGGCAATGAGCGAACCAACACAGCAGGAACCGGTTGTGAAACAAATAGGCAGGAAGAAATGGAGATGGATTGGCTGGCCATAGTCTGAGGAAACCATCAAGTGACATCACTAGACAAGCCATTGCTCGAGTGGAACCCGAAAGGGAAGCGGGCGGCGAGTTGGTCGTCAGTGTTAGGGTGACTTGGAGGAGGTGATGTGAAGAGGAGATGAAAGCATGTGGGCAGACTTGGAGTGAAGTGAAAAAGTTGGGAGAAAACCAACGGCAATGGAGACGCGTGGGTGAAGCCCTATGTTCCTCTAGGAATTAAAGGATATAATCATAATAATGTATAGCTGAAGCGTTAGTAGAAATCTTGCTTAAACAATGCAAAATAATTCAGATATTGATCAGAAGATATTCTCATAACGTTCAAGGAAGTTCTCAGTATTTTCCTACCGAAGATAAAAATCACGTGCGAAAAGAATAATGAGAAAGATTTTCTACAGGTGCATTCTGTTTTTACTCTGAAAAAGAATTAAACAGATAGACCTTTATGGAAGGTGATCGTGCTTTCTGTTTGAGAAATGCTTGTAACTATATTTTCTTAATCACAATAATTATAATAGTACGGTGTAAATACAAACAAAATTTATAGAAATAAGTTGGAATGTATGTTGAGAAAAATGACTTACTTAAAAAGCTTTTCTGATTTTCTTCAGGAGTTTTCACTGGGGAAATTTTGACTAATGCATTTATATCTGATGACCAATTTTCAGTAGAAGTTTGTAAATTCTTTGGTTTCAATGAAGCAGCCACTGTACTGAAATTAAGAATATTGAAAAAAAAAAGATTAAATAAGGCAATCATGAACAGGATAAGACAGTTGAAGGTCAATGTGAATCAACATAGACTGTGCATAGAACTTCCACTTACAAATAAAGTAGAATTAAAAAGTCTGGAAAAAATGATAAACTATAGTAATGTATGCTGTAGACAGTGAACATAAGATTGATTTCGACAATGTCAAAAAAATTCTAGGAATAGACTTTCATTCACATAAAGGAAGGCTGACCTCTGAAGCCCTGCATATTTTAACCACATCAAATGCAGTAAACAGGAGAGAAGAGATATGCTCATCACCTATATGGTAGACTCCAATGATACAAGACAGATAAGAGAGAAAAAAATGAAATAAACCTACACTATGACCATACTATGAAATATTATTATGTTTTGATGTGTTTTCCATATAACAAACAGCATACACTTAAACAGGCACATATGCATATATGACAATTTGACATTCAGTCATTAGGAATATATGACGACTCTTTACACTTTTTTGTTGGTACAAATGTCTGCCAATGAGTGACATTCATTCAAAGAAACTGATTTCAATTTATGTAATTTCTTGACTTTATAAATTTATGGTTGATAAGATCCGAATAATTCTACAGAAGAAGCTGCGGCTTACACAGCGAAATGTTCAGAGAAATCTTGTTTTAATAGTGAGAAGACCAGTAAGTATTTCAGCGAAATCTCTTTTCGGTGAATTGATTTTCACAGCTGTAAAATAGCAAATATACATGGTTATTTTGTATGTGTGTTTATATCAAATTTGTCAGACGAAACTACGGATGGTGAAAAGTAGTAAGTTTTTGTGGGAATTAATACAAAAATATTTGATTTCCCACAAACTGGAAGATATGCAAGTCAAAAGCAACAAGCTGGCAGAAAAAGCATCAAAGATAGGACTTCCAGTGAACATAGATAAAACAGAGGTGATGAAGATTCCTGGACAACACCAACAGCAACAACAACAGACAACAATCAGCCAGCACAAATGGGAGGAACCTGAAAGAAACAAACTCCTTTACCCACCTACCTGGGATGCATCGTTTCAACTACAGGCGGATGCAACTGATGAGGATATCAAAGCCAGAATCGGAAAAGCAAGACAAGCTTTTATTACTCTTAAGTCTGTGTGGAGGTCAACAGCACTCAGCATAAAAATGAGAATAAGATCCGGATTTTCAACTCCAATATGAAGACAGTCAGTGCTACTATACGGATCAGAGACTTGCATTGCGCGTCATGAAGAGCATCTCAAACAAACTTCAGACCTTCATTAACAGTTGTCTTTGCTCAATACTCAAGATCAGATGACTGGCCAGAAAAGATAAGCAATAGGGATCTCTGGCAATGAGTGAACCAACCAGGAACCGATAGTGAAACAAATGGGCAGGAAGAAATGGAGGTGGATTAGCTGGCCATAGTCTGAGGAAACCATAAAGTGACATCACTAGACAAGCCATTGCTCGAGTGGAACCCGAAAGGGAAGCGGCGAGTTGGTCGTCAGTGTGAGGGTGACTTGGGGGAGGTGATGTGAAGAGGAGATGAAAGCATGTGGGCAGACTTTGAGGTGGGTGAAAAAGTTGGCAGAAAATCGAAGGCAATGGAGACGCGGAGCTGAAACCCTACGTTTCTCTAGGAATTGAAGGATATAATAATAATAATAATATTAGTATTGCATTCAGTACTAAAACCACACCAAATAAAGTTTAATTTCCTTGACAGATCAAATTATCAGACTGAGGTTTTTTAATTTTATTATTCCTCTACGTTCCCAGTGGGGTATAGGATTTCAAGCTAAAGGCTGGGGTTTCTAGCCTCATGTCCAACCTTCCCTCTTTATCAGTCTTACTACTGACTTGGCGAGGTAAAGGCTTGCGTCTGCTGGGGATCGAACCCCGGACCATCTGCGTGGTCAATTAGTATACTACCGCTGTGCCACCGACGTAATGAGGTTAGCCTTCGGATAAGGATTACTGAATTCTCAAATAAAACAAGGGAACTGTTTAATTCTCTGGTTACTAAAATTGTCAACACAAATATTACTTCAAAATTACATAGCTGATATGCATAGCTATGCTTATGTACTTACCTACTAACAGATAAAGACTGGTCTGTAATCTGATGTAGCAGACACGACAGATAGAGGCATTTTTTCTACAATAAAGAAAATAGTTCAGTAAACTTCTTGTGGTAGAATATTACTGAAAGCGTTAATCAATGCTGCTTATCATTAATACTTACATATAGTTCATTTGGATCATAGCTTTGTTTATCAGGTAACCAACGGCCTGCTAGATATCCTTCAACAACCTAATAAAATAAGAAAGATTAGGAAACAATCACATTTGGACACTTGAAGAAAAGAAAATCAAGCCATTGGTGTTTTAGTTATTTACACATAATGTCAAAGTTATAAGTAAGTGGATAGAGAGGATTGTTTGGTATAGAAATTTCATTTCCAAGAACTCCCCATTTGGGTGTATCCATAATATTCTGGAAATGTAAGTCTAAAATGGCTTGTTAATTTGTGCACGATTGATTCGACTGTCAACATTCACTACTACTGCAAATATGTAACAATTATTCGAAAGATGACAACATATAAAAGCATATGCATGTGGCAGAAGTTAGAATTCATGGGCCATTGGATCGAGTCCCAGTGGCCTAATGATAATACAAGCTCGCCTTGTAACCAGAAGGTCCTGGTTTCGAATCCCGTTGGGGTGCGTACTGCTGAAGAGTCCCAAACTAGGCCGACGAAACAGCTGTCCAATACTCCCCGGTTTTCCAGTGGTTCTCTAACTGATGTCAGCTCATGATGAAATCCTGTAACCAATCAACCAAAAGCCTACAAACCAATACTTGAATTCAAACGAGATGTTCTTTTAACAGTGCTCCATAAATCCAATAGAAAAATTCTTCATAAGACTTTTAGATTCATCTCTTCCCTGTGCATCTGAATTCACTGAATATCAGTCTTTGTTCATATTAATAAGTGTATAAGGTTAAATGTATAGTGCAGTAAATAATGCGTAAGAAGTAGTTTCATTTAATTTGGTGTTGCAATGATTAAACAAACAGGAATCATCTCATTGCTGAGGAAGTTAAAGCATTCTTATTTCAGCTTCGTAATCCCTATCCATCAACAAAATGTTTATAAAGTAACAGAGTAATCTTACGATTTCATTTATGCGTACAGTCAGTATCTGGAGAGGACCTGTTGGAATAATATCTCTCAGTTAAGTGGATTATGAATTATCAGTTACTAAATGTACTAAGCGTTACTGTACTATCATGTTTGACAGTCTGTTAAGACGGCTTAGGTATCCGTATTCACAACATACATAGCGACAACTTATATGAATGAATTTAGCAGAACTAGATTTTCAATTCATTCATTTGTCTAAGTAACTTAAAACTGATCTTCATTATGTCTGACAGTAAAAGCTATGATCAAACTTATATTGAACTAACTTCATGTTTGTCAGGTATGTTCACACACTTAAACAAAACAGCTCCAGAGAGTCGAATCCATTGAAGTCGTCCTAATCACTGATATAATCAAAATATTATTCAAGTTTATTATCGATTATCAAGAAAAATAATTGATGACGTAAAATTCATTCAGTCATCAATTGAACTGATTAAACATTTATAACACTTCTTCTATGAAACTGAATAAATGTTACTCTGAGAATCCATTTCTCTGGCCTAATAAATTTTCGCCAGTTTGTCTGATCACTAGTACTCCATAAAAAGTAATGAAATTCTTTGAGCAACGAAATGAATGAATGATGATTTAAGCTATGGCAGACAATATTTGGATAATGACTGAGATGCTAAATTTGGAGTGAAAGGATGTGCTATAAATTGACTAACGTATATTAGGCAGCTGTTGCATCTTTGATTTCCAACGAATATTTTATTTGTCCTTTTGGATGTCAGAAAATATGGGAATCGACTTAGAAGTTCATCAACTCCAAAGATACATCCAAAGTAACGAACTATAAAATTACTTACATACAGAATGGAAACTGGTAATCAATGTGCTCAGCCAATCACGAAACTACCTTACCAATAATATTGCATAGCGCTTAGGCCGTGCTGAGAGTGTACCGTGAATGGAAATCATTAGTCACAGGAGTCTAAGTAACTGTGGTCATTTACAGGGCAGTAGGTACCCAGTGCTGAAATTAGTGTTCATTCGAACTATTTTCGTGTGATATGTCAGTACATACTGGACAAGTCTGTACCTTCATAAATGACCTATTAGGAGGGACAATCACAACAAAGCTTTGGTGGAACTTTGGTAAAAGTTGCTACAAGATGAATAAAGGCTGCAAAGACGATTTTAGGTATTTAGGCTACAGCCAAATAGGTACCAGAAACCACCATGACCCACCTCTGAAACTACACACATGATTCGCGCACTCATTTTATCAGCCATAATCGTATAGTCTAACTAGTCTAGATGATCATTAAGATGAAATTAAGAATCCTTAGGAATATCTTCAAACCTGATCAAACATCATGAATGAAATAAACCAAAATACGTTTTAAATGCCTTCTTGTCGTAGGAAATATCGACATTGAAGTTAGATCCTGAAGAATTTTTATTCAACTGTATTTATCGTGCTTGTTGAAAACGTCCTACTCACTGCCCCTGAGTGATACTCCTTTTTCTCGAAAAAGCGTAAAACTGCGTGAAGCTGTTTATTCCCCTAAAGTGTTCTAATGAGACGTTCATTTGACGCATGTTGTATTCGGTTCTGTGTCATATCCTTGGAATAGATGTCTGAATACTAATCTCAATCCCTATTTACCTAGTGGTTTTATATTTAAGCCTTTACGGATACTGTGATGTAACATTTCTGATCATTATTGTTCCCTTGGGTTCCGAGTGAGACGTAGGGCTTCAACAACACATTTCCATCGTGTCCCATTCTTTGCTGTCCTCTTTAGCCAACCCCCATGTTTACCTATAGTCTCTCACCCCCTCCTTAGACGATCTCCTCTATGTCACCATCGAAGGAAGCCCAACTCGTTGTTTCTGCTTTGGGTTCCACTCAAGGACCTGATGCGCAATGTCACTCTACAGTCCCTTTAGAGTGTGTCCGATCCATCTCCACTTACTTCTACAAACTTGTCTAGCAGTAGGTTCTTCATTGGTTTGTTCCCGAAGTTTCTTATTGATGATTTTTTCCGATCATCTTCAGTATGGAGCGAAGATTGCTGTTGACAAAAGTGTGAAGATTATTGGAAGTGCTGTTTTTGTGATGAGCACTACAGGTTTCTCACCTATATTGAAGAAATGACTTAACGATTGTGCTGAAAATCTCGTTCTTTGTGCTGACTGGAGAAGATTTCGAAACTGATTTCAGAGAGTTGCCTCACCTTTCCGATTCTGGGTTTTACATCATAACACAACATTACTCAGTCAACATTTCTTTTTTTTAAATTATTTATATAACGACAGTCCGAGATAAAGGATAGGTTCAACTAAAAGAAATTAGAAAGTACACCGTAAAATATGCCAAAAAAATTTCCACTCACTTGATCAAATAGAAAGTCCAAATAAGCCCGAGGAATTTTCTGTAATTCCAATGGTGAAGTCCAGCATATTCTTCGAAAATGAACTACCAGATTATCATTATAGATTGGTGCATCTAATATATACGTGTCCATTTGTAGGGGAATTAGTGGTTCATTCTCGAAAGCTATTAAAATGTCAATTTAAAAGCAATTTGTTTTATCATTTCTATACGCACTTCAAAATATTTCTAAGGAACAAGTTTCGACTACAGTTGTACTTTTTTTATTTAGAGCTTGACTTCACACAGTATTTTTGATATAAGTATGGAATTTTCAGCATGTGATATTGGTAGCCCAAATTTTGCAGGCCGACTATTGATACCAGGTGTGCGTTGTCAGGGGGTCCAACCTCGGACCATATGCATGGTCGGTGGGTGTCTTAATCGCTATGCCACCGATGCACTTACCTTGCGATATGAAGTTAATAAAACTGGGTATATCATTAATTATGGAAACGAATGAATGTAATCTAAGTTTTTTCAAATTTAATTACGTTAAATATATAATGAATTTTTATATTTTTACAAATAAAACAACAGTGAAAATTTAAATTTAATTTTCTGATCCTGATGAAGGCATGAATTATGATTATTTATCAGTCAGAGATTCGACAGCATTCAATAGTCCTCTCACTGATATCATATGAGGAATAGATCTAATTTGAATAGCATAAACAATTGTAATTTTATTTGAGAATACCGCAATAAACTTCGTTAATTATGTACTTGTTCAACTTCAATTTTGATATCGCTTATTTTTGAATTCACTTACTGAGAATGTATTTGAAGGATACCCAAGATAAATTTTACCTACAGACTAGTAAATAAGCAACAGATGATTTTGGATGCCTACAGGCTATAATGAGATAACTATGAATCATTATTTTGTAATTTTGTCCTTAGTAAATAATCGCAAATTATAGAAATTTAAGAATACTTAGTGTTCTCCTACAAAAATAAACCTCAATCCAAAAATTAATTGATTATAAGAGGAAGAGATACTGTTATTTTAGTAGATGGTGACTCGTGGTGGAATTCAGGGTGTAGAGTTTGTCCTGTTCAGCTGGACATACCTGCATTCCACCGTCACAAGTCCCTTAGCATCACTAAATAGACTATATGAGCCACAAGAGACAACTCTTGTGCAACAGGAACCAGTAATTATTTTGTTTTTAAGGTGAATCTCCATTTCCAGTTGACTGATTATGTTCTATCTGTCTTGTCATGTTGGACTCCAACAAGGAAGCTTTGACAACGTCCGAGAATTGAAGTGATGTTATTTTGTTAATGATTAGATGCCATCGAAGTGTTCGCACTCTAGGCATACAGAGACCGAACATTTCCGTACAATATGAACAGTCAACGGGAAACACAAATGAACACGGAAGAAGAACGGAAGATTTTCAGCTAACATGTCCATGCACTAATTACATTAACCATCTTGACCGATAAAGTTTGTGTACATAATAAGTATTTCCACGGAACTAAATGACAATATTCAATAAAATGTTCGCCTGACAGACATTTAGATTTTTTCATGCATATGAATCTGTTCTCTGTATGTAATTCAGAAATATACGACACCCTCTCACTACCCACGGTAGTAGGTTACTTCACGAAAATGCCTACAATAGATGTCATGAGTAATATCAATCCAAAAAAGGTACACAATAACCAAACATATATTTAATGTCCCATTGGACTAGGTCGCAGTGGCTTACTGGCTTAAGAGCTCACTCTGTAATAGAAAAGTCCTGGGTTCTAACCCTGGTCGGTGCACACTGTTGAAGAGTTCCGAGCTAGGACAAAACGGCTGTCAACTACTCCCAGGTTTTCCAATGATTCTGTAACGGATGTCAGCTCATGATGAAATCCTGTAACTAATCAAATCCCTGCAAACAAACACTTGAAGATACTTAATCATTTGAAACTCTACACAAAGCATAATGCAAGATAGGTTTAATTTGACTGTATACAAATATAACTACTATATACCATCATTATAATTTTACTTTAAGAATTTCTGAAGAATGCTGATCTTTACTAATTTTGACTTGTAATTTGGTTTGTATTTTATTGTGCAAATTCCCTACAATTTATTATTACCTTTTTAGACGTCTGTCGTTAACTGTTAAAGTTTAAATGTATAACATTTTGCGTATTGGTTGTTCGCTTACTATTCGACTGAGGAAATTATTATAGGAACAAAACGGATCCATTATCGAAAGAAGACACGGTAAGTTTAATTTACCAAATCAGTTATAGAGTCTGTCCATGAAGGTAGGTTGGTCAAACTGGTCTGTATATTGGCCAAATGATTCATCGGCTGTTAAATTCCGAATTCCACAGAAAGCCAAACAGTTTCCATTTTTAATCCCAGGCTGTCTGTCTGGATTCAACATAGAACTTGGCACCGAAGTGCAGCAGTTCGAGTTGCCACGTTCCAAATAGCACACAGAGGTAGACAAGAAGATGAGTGGAGAGAATCAATAGAGTTTGACAAGTATGAGAGTGAAACAGAATGGGTAATGGTAGGAAGGAATATGAAAGATTACAGAGATTGAATACATCTGCGCCATTGACAACGATTTTGAGCCATGTCACCTATTGTCTCCAGCCATTGATTCCTAGAGTCCCGAGGGCCCCAACCCGGGAGTCTGCATCTCCCTACCTGACTCAGTTTAACTGTCAAGGATTTCATGGATTGATGAGGCCATGTTTTTGTTTGGCCACCACTGGCTCTTTTTCAACCTGAACCTATGTCAGCTAGCAATGCCCGTCGGGGGAGGCGGTGGTTAGGCATGCGCAGCACGTGACCTAGCCATCTTAGTCTATGTAACTTTATAGCCTCGTCCCAGGCTACAAATCTTCTCTGCCAGTTCATAAGAATGAAATTCGATCCTTTGTATATTTTACACGAAATCGATTCTATTGGTCAATTCGAGTACATCTTTATATAGATATAAATATTTCACGTAAGGGTTGAAGTAAACTAGATCTAGACAAGAAATTTACATGACTTCACCAGTTTTTACTACCGATGTCCATAGGGTTATAGAGAGAAGTATACTGAGAAGAGGGCACCAAATGAAAATGTATTTTACAGTGACTTTTCATTTTTACTATATGAGTAAAAACACTATTTGTAGAAACCACTGCAACAATAAACTCGACTGAAGTGCCATATGATTTCATAACTGAAAGCTTGTAAAAAACTATTTGATTTGCAGGCTTCAGTATGTAATGAGTATGAAACTATATGAAAGTGGTGGTTTCCCATTATTACTTTTCCATGAGTTCATTTCATCCACCCTGTACAGTAGTATTTATACTACTACCTACAAGACATTCATCAGTGCTAAAATGTGCTCGCTCAGCACACTGACAACAAAAATTATTTAATAAAAGGGGAAACTGAAATGAATACAACAGAAGATATTTTGTTCAAGAAAAGAAATAATATTTCAAAGTATAAAATACGTGAAGTATAGTCAAGAAACCTGAAATTATAGTGATGATTAGTGATGGATATGTAGACGTTCAGAGTGAATGAATTCAGCTCAATAGATAACACTGAAAAATAAATCGCAGTGAGATAAATTAACTAGAGACGAAATCTCACATCCCACTTCATCACATGCTAGAAGTAAACAATAATGAGTAGTACTTTATTTCAAAAGCACATCTGGAAATAACATTCTCTACCAGCGAATACTGGGGGCGGGGGGCATAGTGAATAAAACAATTAAGTTTGTCAAATACTATGCAGTGAGAGTGTGGAGTTAAATACACAGGTCAGGACAACAGATCACAATCAGTAAGATTAGGGGGGCACAAAATCCTAAAGTAATCTAGAACATAACACTGATAAGGCCAGAAATCTAGATAGATACTCAGCTATAGCACTGCGTACAGTTCCATGCAATGATACAGTAGGATGAGAGAAAACATTTTAAAAATCAAATGTAAAAGAGTGGAGAGATATACTCACAAAAGAAACTGTAATTATCAGATCAGCTGAGAATTCATAAAACAGACATGACTCAAAATGTCTTGGATATCCAAAAAATTCCAATCCCCCCTACCACAAATGCAAAAATAGTACGGTCACGTTCCATGTTACTGTGTGAAGTTAATTGTGTTCGAAACTTCATTCAGTAAATAACACTATTTTATAGTTATCTATATATACATAGCATAAACGAACTATTATGAATTAAAAATAATCAGTCGGTTTCAAAAGGATTGATAATATAGTTATGACTTACTGTCAGCTGAACTACTTTTAGTAGTAAGAAATAATGCAAAATCACTGACTGGAGCGATTAAATTTGCACCAAGTTTATTGACCACATGGTGGATAACATCTTGAATAAGCAATAACTGTCCCAATGGTAAAGTTGTACTTTTTTTGTTAGGAAAATATATCTCTTGTTTATGCATTATATTTCCATCCTGAAATAAATAGAAAATGTTTTGTTAATAAGTAATAATTTCCAGAATAAAATCATGTACTTGGTTGGGGTTCGACTCCCTGCTGACGCATTTGTACATCACCTAGTTTGCTAATCAGTAGTAGACCTGAAAAAGATTGGGTGTAAGGCTAACCAACCTATTCTTTGAAACAAACACCTTTACTACCAACATTTCATGAGACTGAGTCTCTGTGATTTACATGAAAGATAGTAAATGAAGAAAAAAGAACATATTAGGCGAAACAACGTCCATTACAACAGAATTACATTCCTTTAAGTGGTGGTGATTTAACAAACAAAAAAATTTATTGTTGTCAAGAAACAGGTAGCAACCAATACTTACATATCTCATCCGAGTGATAGCTAGGGTTTTTTTAGTGTTACCTCCACCAGAATGTATTATTATATCCTTTAATTCCTAGAGGAACATAGGGCTTCACCCACGCGTCTCCGTTGCCGTCGGTTTTCTGCCAACTTTTTCACCCACCTCAAAGTCTGCCCACATGCTTTCATCTCCTCTTCACATGACCTCCTCCAAGTCACCCTAACACTGACGACCAACTCGCCGCCCGCTTCCCTTTCGGGTTCCACTCGAGCAATGGCTTGTCTAGTGATGTCACTTGAAGGCTCGTTTTCTCAGACTATGGCCAGCCAATCCATCTCCATTTCTTCCTGCCTATTTGTTTCACAATCGGTTCCTGCTGTGTTGGTTCGCTCATTGCCAAAGATCCCTGTTTCTGATCTTTTCTGGCCAGCCATCTGATCTTGAGTATTGAGCGAAGACAACTGTTAATGAAGGTCTGAAATTTGTTTGAGATGCTCTTCATGACGCGCAGCACAAGTCTCTGATCCGTATAGTAGCACTGACTGTCTTCATATTGGAGTTGACAATCCGGATCTTATTCTCATTTTTATGCTGAGTGCTGTTGACCTCCACACAGACTTAAGAGTAACGAAAGCTTGTCTTGCTTTCCAGATCCTTGCTTTGATATCCTCGTCAGTTGCATCCGCCTGTAGTTGAAACGATGCTTCCGAGGTCGGTAGGTAAAAGAGGTTGTTTCTTTGATGTTCCTCCCATTGTTGTCTGTTGTTGTTGCTGTTGGTGTTGTCCAGGAATCTTCATCACCTCTGTTTTATCTATGTTCACTGGAAGTCCTATCTTTGATGCTTCTTCTGCCAGCTTGTTGCTTTTCACTTGCATATCTTCTAGAATGAGCAATTAAATAAATCTTCATCTGCTACTATAACGTTCCTACCCTTCTAATCGTGAAAACCATTTAGATTAATTCATTTATCCACGGCAAAACTCAATCACAAAAGGTTAGTCCAGTTTTCAAAGATATTAAACTGCCTGAATGAAAGGTATAATAGCTAAATGTGCAATTTGCCCTCCACTTGATTGGAATTTCGAATCAGAGCCCTGAATATCCCTTCAGATCCAGTCATCATCAGAGAACCAAAATTCCGTACTGTTAGATTGTAATTCGTATTGTAGCCTCATTTTTTTCTTTGCTTTCTTCCATTCAGCACGAAAACTGCCGTTCAGTGTAGTTTTAATTGACAGGCATATTTCTTGGGCTGCAAACCACATTGACTGCTAGTTCACAGCTATCGTCTTTATGGTTAAAGACATACCGACCTAGCGTTGAATGTCTGACTTGTCTATAACCTATCTTCATGGGCAGACACCAATGTATATTCTTATACTTACTAAGTGAGACAAACAGACGATCCTTATCCAGTGTTACTATTTTCAATCCAGCATATTTTCAGCTTTTGAACTTCAATATTTATATCATGTTGGATGTATTAAGTGTTGAGATACACTCAAGAGTGATGTTCAAAACCAGTTGAACGTAATAAAAAACAGTTGCTGGATTACACTGATATGACAATTCATTAAATACTTTTTTTCTTACCAAAATGAATTGTAAAACATCGTCGGGAGGCAAGTATTTTCTCGCCCCAAAACGTGAAACAATCTCCATGTTTTCAGCTATTGTATCTAACCAAGCTGTTGAATCACAAGAAAAATCAAACATTTTATAACTCCTTTTTTCTTAAACGTCCACTAGCAAATAAAAATATTTTTGCGGTGCGAATAAATATCTTAGTCATAGGATAAGCAATTCTAACATCCTAAACGATGAATCAGATTGAGACAAACACTTTAGTGGGTATAATGGTGGTTCAATGGTCTAGTGGATAACTCTTTGCTAGCGTCAGTGGTTCGGCGATAATATAGTAGCCAGCCACACAGATGATCTGGGTTCAATTTCAGGTAGTCGCATTCCTGTATCTCATCTGGCGGGTACTAAGCCTGGAAATGACGCAAGGTTGGGTGTGAGGCTAGCTAACACATCCTGCAAACGTAATACCACCGCTAATGAAAGCTTAAAGCTGGAAGCCATGTGTTCTACTCGGAACGAAAAGAAGAAAAGAGGGATTTTAATCTGTGACCTCTGGCTTACTGGCCACTGAAGACGTTTTGATTAGATTTAAGCCATCGGTTGTGCTCAGTGTTTGCCATAACTTACATCGATGATTACCACGTAAGTTCCATAGCCAGTTTTTTTAATCACTTCACGCAGCTCAGTTAACAATCGTCTATTCAGTTTGTGACTTTACATGAAAAACTAAATCTAGTTGTCATTAAGTTAAATTTATACATTTTATTCTTCATCAGACAACTTGGATGAATTAACTTGAAGATCATTCACAAGCGGCTTTTTATGAGATGAGCAAAACCATTAATTAGATATCGATATGGATTCCGTCCAAGAAGACAACTAAACAGCTATCCACAGATGTATGATTTTCATGGTTCTACTGTGGTGAGAGCTGGCCGGTAGCCGAAACGGTAGACATTAATTTACGTCAATGTTTATATCCCAAATATTGGTCGTGAGAAAATATGAAAAAAGACTGATTCAACAACCAACCATAGCAGACTTTGCGTCAGCGGATAGAGTTAACATACAGATGATCTGACATTCAAGAAACAGTCACAAAGAGATGAAAGATTAGCTTTCAGTGAGGAACAACCAATCAGAAGGCTGTGTTTGTTTACTTAAATAATCTATAATAATGTACATGAAAATATATAAATACGTGTTGATTTCCTTAATAAACGATCTGTTGCCTGGCCCTTGTCTTCTTTTGTTACACTACTAATAAGTACAGTTACAAATCTATGTTGTATATAACAGAGCATATAATCCCCATTTGTACTTACATACACAGTAAAGAATCATCAAAAGATGCATGAACTCAAGTTATTAAGATACCTTTTGATGAATGGAAGACGGATTGAGGGCACTCCAAGAGTAATCACTCCTAAAGATTAACACCTGTTGTAATTGAAAACAAGTGTTCTATTTGAAAATTACTGTTTAATATTACATGATCACTGAACTTTACTTTCAAGAAGGGAGGTTGATGAATACAGTGTGGACATACCTTTTAATTTTGGCTGCTGAATGTCAGTTCTAAATGCAATATACTTAATTAAATATGGTCTGAGCGAATCTGTAGTTGGAATGAAGATCGACAGTAATTTCCATAATAACCAAGTTAGTTCACAACTATCACTACAAAATAGAAAAATAAAGTCAAAGATACCAAATATATCACTAAACTAAACGAATATTCTACTAATTCACATCAAAATTAACATAATACGCAGTCGATATTACTGCCTCGGAGTGTGGGTTTGGTCTTTTACAGATGACATTTTGACCATTGATCGTGATTTCCTTGTTTTATGTTCCCAATTACTTCATTAAATATGTAGAGATATAAAAGGTTTTGTATAAAACAAAACTCATAGCATACAATGAAAAATACCAGAACCTATCGTCAAATTACAGTCTTTTTCAAGTATTGGTTTTGTAGGGATTTTGTTTGATTGCATGGAGGATTTAATCATGAGCTGACATCAGTTAGAGAACCACTGGAAAACCTGGGAGTACTGGATAGCTGTTTCGTCAGCCTAGTTTGGGACTCTTCAGCAGTACGCACCCACCGGGATTCGAACCCAGGATCGGGTCCCAGTGGCTCAATGATCTATGAGCTCGCCTTGTAACCAGAAGGTCCTGGGTTCGAATCCCGGTGGGTGCGTACTGCTGAAGAGTCCCAAACTAGGCTGACGAAACAGCTATCCAGTACTCCCAGGTTTTCCAGTGGTTCTCTAACTGATGTCAGCTCATGATTAAATCCTCCATGCAATCAAATTACAGTCTATCATGACCAAAAGGAGTTAATTTAAAAGTGACTCATAAATAGGGGAAATCTAGGTTGCTACCACGAAGAAAACACTTTCACTCATGAAAAAGTTTAGTAATATCAATCAATTTATTCCAGTGAAACCAAACCTATCAATAGCTAAAATTGTGGTGAGAGCAGGCTGCTAGCCAATTGGTAGACATTACTTCACGTCAATGCCTTGAATTCGACTGAAAGATGTGATTTTTCCAGAAATTTAGAGTTGACTACGACCTTTCGTTTAGGCGATTGGCGTCATCGGTAGCCAAGTTGCGTGAACATATTGGCTACTCGTCCTGGCAGGAAGGAAACTGATTGGAGTTTCGTGGAGACTTCGAAATCTATGACATCATGACTGATTGTGACACAAATGTATCCGAGGCACTGTAGAAGATCATATTTAGGGAATCAATCTACTGCTGACTAGTGCCAAACTAATTCCAGATGAGGTAATTTTTTATTCGAATTTCTCTATGAATCTTTGACTTGTATTTACTCTGCAAATTATTCTAAGGCTATTCTGGGGCAAGATAGATAAATTTTCCTTGTCTTATTAAATAGTTGCCACTGTGGTGAGAGTTGGCTGCTAGCCAAACAGTAGACATTAATTTACGTCAATGTCTAGGTCACTAATATTGGCCGTGAGAAAATATGAACAAGGCCGATTCAACAACCAATCACAGCAGACTTAACGTGGGCAAATAAGATTCGCAGATATATGGCTTAACTTTTCGAGAAACCAGTTACCTTGAGCAAGAAACAACCAATCAGAAGGCTGTGTTTGTCTGCTTGAATAGAACTGTAATAATGTACATGAAATATATATAAATAGGTGCTGATTTCCGTAATAAAAACAATCTAATGCCGGGCCTTTTCTTCTGTTGTTACAAAATCAACAACCTCATTTTTGTTTACAAAAGTAAATATCGAGTTACCATCCTTGTGGAAAGAGTACGTTGCACAATTTTCAGATCTTCAACTAATTCTAAGAATTTTCCAAATATGCTACAAGTTTCGCATAGACTATGCATTTCATAGAAATTTTGAATCATTTTAATTGAAGCTTATTCACGAACCCACATATTTTTCATTTTTTTCCTTTAAAATGCTGAACTTTTTAAGACAGCAGCGAATTTCACAAGATTTGTTCTTGTCTCATGAAGTAGGTCTTGCAATAAGATGTCACGAAGTTTATCAAATGTGGCAAAGTTTTTTCTCTTAAAACTGGTTAGTTACAAGTCCAAGTTTGTATAGGGTTGGAAATCCGTCTCTTCATATTATTATTATTATTATTATTATTATTATTATAGGTACATACTACTTGATAGTAGTTTCAGCGACTCAAAAGAAACATCTGCACATGATACAACCTTTAGCCTCATTTTACTATTTAAAATCAAATCGGTTAAATGTAGATAATTATCGTTTACACTAATAGGCCAATGTTTTGGAAAATCGAATGATGATGGATTTTATTTAGTTAAAGGAACAAAAGCACACAGTATGGACGAAATATATTTTTCTGAAAGATACCTTGCATATCTTGCCTTCTAGGTTAGCTGATACATCTTCTACATTAGAGATACATTTTAATCACTAATACAAATTGAAAACCAAATTTAGTTACCATGATTAATTTGTTGTTAAGTGGATGTATCTACTATTGTTTAAAAGCTTGAGCATGTATGATATTTTGGTTAGTACAATCCTAACATTTAAAAAATACTATTTCAAAGACTATACAAGCCCAAATTATTATGTATTACCTTAAATTCACATATGATTAATAAAGCCATATCTGATTCACGATAGCTTTCTGTGTGGAAGAAAACCACGATAACTAGCCATTTAAACAAAGTAAATTTAATATTCATGAGATGATAATTTAAATGGTTATGACTGAACAACAACATTACACCAAAGAAAGGACTAGACATAACACACTAGTCACTTCCTGATGTCCAATCAAACTACCCACTACAGTCCTACAGGAGGTCAATCGCAAGCCAGATTAGCTCAGCGTTAACATCTCTGACTGCAGCACTCACTGGGTGACGCGGGTTTGAATTTCAGAAGGGACATGAATTCCTCCTAGGTTGCAAATACACCTTGCTGATGAGTGCCAACTAGTACGAAACCTAGGTGGAAGGCTTAGTGTCGATTGCCTCCAACTATCTAATATCATCAAATCAATGTGCACCGCGATGGCAAGCTACCTAGAATGGTGGCCACATTGCAAACCTGACTGATGGAATTATGTCTGCACCGGCGAAAGAACTAGACACACCATTCTATTCACTAGTGTCCAATCAAACAACAACACTTCAGTTGAATTCAGTAATATTCAAATTTTGTTTGTAGGGATTTGATGGGTTTCAGGATTTCATCATGAACTGACGTCAAATCCCTGTAAACAACACTTAAATATCGTAAATATCGTCGTTTTATGATGAAATCCTGAATTCAGTGAGACGAATATCATTTACAGCCTTGTATGAAGACTAGAATACTTAACACGTGAATCAAAATAACGAATCAGACTCTAAATTATTTTGGTTTTAGAACAAAAATAAGTACTAGCAATGTAAAAATCTAATATTATTTCATGACTTTTACAAGAATAGTTTTAATATACCCACTATTCTTCTTTTGTAGCTATGTTTAGTACTTAAAAAAATATTTACTTAAAATACCTAATAAACTCATTTTGCATGTTGGTCCAACACATGAAAATAAAGAAATACTTTTCAGGAATTATTTATATTGACAAATACAGGGAAAAAATCTTGCAAAGAAATCTAAATGTTGCTAGAATAATACTGGCTGCCTCTTAAGTTTACTAGAAATTTTCAACACCCAAATGCTGAATATCAACATGATTTACTATTACCCATGGAGTCGATAGTAGTAGGGAGTAAACCCGCCTCTACAGAACCACTAAAACAAAGGTGTTTTAAGGAACTATTTTCTTCAAGGTAGTGACTCTTCAACAATCTTTATTCTTGATCTCAAACATAACTTGACCTATGCCCGTCATCTTATAGGAAAGGGGCTACACAACACTATTTGACCACATAGATGGAAACAGATGACTCATAGTCTTCGGATGCTGCCTACTGGCGATGTGAGCTGACTTTCTTATGTTGTCATGGATGAATATCAGGCTTTATACCTCCATACAATTGACACCACAGGTCACGACGAATTTGAATTTGAACAACAGAAAATCCCCACTAAAGTAAATTAATCATAAGAATGACAATTAAGGTGACATAGTTTCCTGACATAAAAATCTGCAGTCATATACACACCTATTGTTACATCAAGTAATATCAAATCAGACCAACTTACACAGTATTTGCATCAATTTTTAGTGTTTGTTTTGTTAACTGACAATATAATTCTTCAGATAACCACGGTCGTTCATTTAATGTCTGTAAATGTAAAGATAAATAATAACAGACGTCATGGAATTATCTAAGTGAATCAGTTATACTCAACAGTATGTGCTTGATTCAATAACATCGAAAGGAATCTTCTGTGAACTGACTTACCTGGACTAATAATTTGAAAATCACATATTGAGGATATGTAGAAGGAATTTCTTTGGTAAAGCTTTGAATTACTAATGAAATAAAAAAATAATAAAAAAAAGACACTGGATAATTATTTGATGAAAGTCATTCAATAACTAATACTTGAAATAATAGGCTAACAGTTATATTTTTACGAGTTTATCGGGGACTGATATCAGTTAGAGAACCAATGAAAACCAAGGAGTACTGGACAGCTGATGTTTCATCCTAGTTTGGGAATCATCGGCAGTAGGCACCCACTGGGATTCAAACCCAGGACCTTCCGCTTACAAGGCAAGCTCGTAAATCACGAATAAGTAGAAGTTCCAATTCATGGGCTGACCACTGAATCGGGTCCCAGTGGCTGAATGGTATACGAGCCTGCTTTGTAACCGGAAGGTCCTGGGTTTAAATCCCAATGGGTGCGTACAGCCGATGATTCCCAAACTAGGATGAAACAGCAGCTGTCTAGTACTCCCTGGTTTTCAATGGTTCTCTAACTGATATCAATCCGTGATCAACTCGTAAAAACATAACTAACCCTTACAAAACAAACTGTTGAAAATTAACGGGTATATAGTAGTAGTTGCAGAAATAAATCAGGTTATATCGAAAATCAAACCAGTGACTTCATTTTGTCTTATGTAAAGTGAAATATATAAACGAGTTTAATGTGCTTTTTCATATTTCATTGTCATAAAGTAGAATCAAGCAGGTTAAAGTTATTTCAATAAGCAGAGTTAACACAACTACAAACAAAAGTGTTGTTAAGCTGGACAAAAGTGCATGTGTTACAGATGAAGTGAAGAAATAAACAGCAATATTAATTGTAAGAAAATATTTTTTGTAAGAAAACTATAAATCTATGAGTAATTATTAAAGCTTTCTACTTATAAGATTCATGGATAGATGTTTAATTTCAAGATCAACTTGTTCAGTAATCGAAGTAATCTTGAAAATTATTAGAAAACAGAAAGTACTGGATATCCCATTATTCTTCAACACTAGATTCTCCTCACCATGGCAGGTCAATGCAGATTTTATAATACAACCACCATTGCTGTAGAAAATTGTGCGAAGCTTTCTATCTGTTAGTTGCCAAAGTAGGATGACTGCCACTCACTATCAGTAAGTAATTAACTAAACACTTGGTAGTTAAATTATCTACAGACAGCAAGTTGTCGTGATAAAAACCCGGCATAATAAGACGGGTTCCACAGTCCAACACTGATGCGATGGCCACACAAATTTCTGACTGTTACTTTATTAGTAATTTTATTGTTTTGTATGCTGGGTAGCCCTGAGTCAGTGTTTAATGACCATCACTACGGCCTACTAATAAAGGATGTCTAAAATCTTGTAATATCCCATTTTTTTCTGAAAGAGGCGAGATTTCAATTCAATGACTGCATGATAAATTTGATCAGGTGTGATTCATAGTTGTATCATGGATGCCCTCTACTGAGAAGTCCTAAACAAGGAAGAAACAACTTCACAACGTGCCATAATGTATATGTTTGAAAAAGTTCAACTAGAAATACATATAGTTATTGATTACTAATCTAGAGTAGTGGTTAATTTACAACCAACAAACATATCATCTCTACTGCTGTAATAATTCAAATTAGGCTCTTTGACTAAGGCATACTTTAGGATACCAAAAATATCAAAGAGTAAATCTAATATACAAACACGAGTCAAATAAACAAGTAGATATTGTAGAAATATACAAAATAATACTTCAAATGACTTCAGAAATTCACCTAAAAGCAGAAGTTAATAAAATTTAGTCAATCATTACTATTTTATTTTAAATTTTGAAAACTGATCATTACGAAGGTTCACCCTTAAAAACTTTATGCTTGTAAACACTAATCGTCAGACGTTATCCAGAAGTTGAAAAGTTTCTGTAACTGTGTTACTACTTAATGTAACGCATAGGGTGATTTCAATTATCTTTGAATCATTTAATATAACAAACATCAGAGAATCTATATTACAGCACTCAAGAAACTGAATCTTAAACCATTTAGAAAAGACCATCATTCTTGTTATCAAGTATCAACTATAAGTGTCAGTTGCTGTATACTGTTTGATTGATTGAAATAAGATGTTGGATATCACTTACTGCTAGCCAAATCGATGTAGCTCAAACAGTCGGTGGGCATTCCGCTAGTTTGAGGCCGGTAGCGTCATTGGCGTACTCTCAGTTCAGAGAACCGAATCAGTCTACATCTAATTAGCAAGCAGCACTAGTTGATGTAAGTGAAAACCACCTACTCATTCTAATCCACTAGTAGTGGCATAATTGTATTATACTATAAACTAGTGATTAGTTAACATTATTAGTGGGATACCACTCACATCAACTAGTGGTGCTTGCAAGCCATTTCGAAGTAATCACTAGTTTTTATTGCTATTTATTGCATCAACGAGATCATATGTTATGATCTGAAAAATATTGGTTTCCAGTGTATTATTAATATTATATCCTTTAATTCCTAGAGGAACATAGAGCTTCAGCTGCGGATCTCCATTGCCTTCTGTTTTCTCCCAACTTTTTCACCCCGCTCCAAGTCTACCCACATGCTTTCATCTCCTCTTCACATCACCTACTCCAAGTCACCCTAACACTGACGACCAACTCGCCGCCCGCTTCCCTTTCGGATTCCACTCAAGCAATGGCTTGTCTAGTGATGTCACTTGATGGTTTCCTCAGACTATGGCCAGCCAATCCACCCCCATTTCTTCCTGCCTATTTGTTTCACAATCGGTTCCTACTGTGTTGGTTCGCTGATTGCCAGAGATCCCTGTTGTTGATCTTTTCTGGCCAGCCATCTGATCTTGAGTATTGAGCGAAGACAACTGTTAATGAAGGTCTGAAGTTTGTTTGAGATGCTCTTAATGACGCTCAGTGCAAGTCTTTGATCCGTACAGTATGTAGCACTGACTTCACATTTTTTTGTTGCAGAGTGGGGCTGTTGACTTCCACACAGACTTAAGAGTAATGAAAGTTTGTCTTGCTTTCGCGATTCTGCCTTTGATATCCTCCGCCCGCCTGTAGTTGAAACGATGCTTCCAAGGTCGGTAGGTAAAGAAGGTTGTTTCTTTCAGGTTCCTCCCATATATGCTGTCTGATTGTTGTCTGTTGTTGTTGCTGTTGGTGTTGGCCAGGAATCTTCATGTTATATTAATAATTAGTTGATATGAATGATGGGATACCACTCAAATCAACCAATCACTTGTTTTTACTACCATTTATCGCATCAACGAGATCATATATTATGATCTGAATGATATTGGTTTCCAGAGTGAATCGTAGTTAAATTCCACCCCAAAGTGTGGAACTTGGAAATCATCAACCGATTTTCAAATCTGACTTTTATTTCAGATTAAATTCGTTAGGTTTAGTCACTTCTTGTCTTAAATATCCATAAAACCGATTACAAAATTCTTTTAGATGTTCAAATCAATAGATTCACCAGACAAGGCACAAATTCAATTCCAAATAATGTTTAAACATTTTAAAATAAAACTTAATATTCTATTTAGTATTAAAAGTTATTGCGCTGTACAGAGAGGGATAGATTTCAATGGATAGTTAGTATTTGATCACTTTATGCAGAGTTATCGTCAATCTGAAATCATAAGTTATAAATTTGCTTAGGATAATCTCTTTTTTTGGATCACCCTTAGTGACAAGTACGGACAGATGAAAACAAAAAAGCACCATACTTGCTTAAGCAGCTAAAGCACAATTATGTTAAGCATGAAAATGTACACAGTGAAGTTATTTCCAATAATCTAGTCACTAAGCATTTGCATAAATGAGAATTACACATACTGAGTAGGGAAAATACTGAATATAAGGATATTCTCTAGACAGATTCAACCGAAAACAGATAACTTTTCCTTTAACTCAGTTGGTTGGCAGTGACTAGCAGTGGTATCAAGGACGTACATTTCATCCTACTTGAGACCCGTCATCTGGATGTACCTGCATTTCCCAGTGAGTAATGGTGCTCCCACCAAGGCTCAAATCAGGTTCGTAAGGAAAATACCAATGAATAAATTAGTTGGTAAACTAATGATTAAAATTATACATGTATTACCTAGTAATAAAATATGGCAGCAGTTATTTAATATTTCATAACTGTAAGTTGGTGTTGACATCTTAAAGGAACTCTTTGGAAAAATTATTTCTTAAATAAAGTATTTTATTCCAGAGTTTGACAGACAACTTTATGATTGAACGCAAGTTTTTTCCCTATATAGAAGGCAATATGTGAAGTGATGGTGTTCAAATAAGTAGTAATAATGAAAATCAGTTTCTTTAGGAAAATTATCCATGAAAGTTCTGTATGATTATAAGTATCAATCTGACCTGATATTTTAAAACATTCTACAATCACTTTGCACAAAGTGAAATGGATATAATCACAAAGACCATAAATGCATTTTTAATCAGCTGTTAGTTCTATTATATAATTAATTCAAAAAGATTGCGAAAAATTAAAAAAAAAATAATCATTTTATTTCTGCTGTTCATTTGTTAAGCCTAAAGCAAAAGATGGTTAGATTAGCACACTATCATTGTATTCATACATACATGTAAATATATTCATTGATACATTCCTATCTCCAGTTTGTGGAAAATTTAAGAGTGATCCTTCCTTGGGTGGCTCAGACTGCCAAATAAGTTGTTGTTTTATATCGTCTCTTTAATTAAAAAATGTGGATGTGATTTAATCTTCAAAAATATTTTGATATATAACAGAATCACATAAAAATACGAGTTCAAAATTGATTGATCAAAATTCTGTAGGAATGATAAAATAGTTAAAGAATCGAATGGGATATTCAAAACGTTTGCCTGGTAGACTCCTTAATACTCTCAACTTACCTTAGACACTCTGAATCGATGATAGATGGTTGGAGATAGTCGGTAGGAAGCCTTATTAGCGCTTGTTGGCAAGGCGTAAGCGTAATCATTGAGAAACTCAAATCTCTTCCAAGATTCAAAACTGGATCACCCTGTGCCTCTGGCAGATACTCTGACATAAAGAAATTATAATGTCCGACAATGGCACGGTTGGAGACCTTTGTGTATTAATGATTAATAGTGGAATAACTTATAAATTTAGGAAAGTATCGAGGGTAATACGTGACACAAAACGTTGACAGAGTCAAAATCAGATCCACATTACATTATACCTGGAAGTAGGATCATATATGAGCAGGGTATTTTATTCTAAGCCTGTCAGTTAAAGTGTGTCTGTCTGTCTGTTTTCGACATAGAACTTTGCACAAATGTGCGGAAGTTCAAGTCGCCACATTCCGTGTAGCACGCGAAGCAAGAGAAGAAAGTACAAGAAAAGCATAATAGAAACAGTGAGCAGAGGTGTGAGACAAAGGAGTAATAAAGAAATACAAAACAATTTCATTGAAGATCATAAGTCACAGGGAGTGGATGCATCTGCGCCACTGAGAACGATTTTGAGCCATGTCACCAATTGTTTCCAACCATAGATTTTTGCCGTCCCGAGGACCCCAGCCTGGAAGTCTACACCTTCCTACGTGGCTAAGACCAACTGTTGTGGATTTCATTGACTGGCGAGGCCAAGTTTTTGTTTGACCGCCGCTAGCTTTTTTCCAGCCTGACCCTATATCCGCTAACATAGCTCGTCGAGGGAGGCGATGACTTGGCATACGTAACACATGTCCTAACCATCTCAGTCTTTGTAGCTTCACGACTTCGCCGATTGATTTCCCCTGTTTACCTAGAACTCGACGCCTAACCTCCATGTTGCTCACCTTATTATGCCACTTTACACGGGAAATAGAACGCATATATATACATATATATGTACATATATCTTGGTAAACCAAAATATGTATTCTCAACGAAATCTAACCAGAGACATCAACTTATCATAATCCAAGGTATTACTTACTGAGATTATCATTTCTTCACATTTTTAATGTATTATTGAATGTAACACCTTATCAACTCTGGACATCGAATATCCCCACATAAATTCTTCCCAGTGGTACACAGAGTTCCTCAATATCGCACGAAAGGGCTTCGAATACGCCATTTATACATAGCTCAATCAGTGACTGTTAGGGGTCTGAAACAAAGTCTCTGAGTTTAAAAGCGCTGCATCCATTTACACACACCGTCGTGGCCAGAGTAATGCTCTTACTATAATATTGCCGCCTAATTTTATTATGCAAGTTTATTATTATTATTCTTATTATTTTCATCATCCTTATTTTGTTATCACTGTACTATTGTTTATTAATAACACTGAGTTTTCATACAGATTTTACAAAAAACATTTTTTCATCTTTCCACTAGTTCTTGTCCATTCAGCACGACCTCATTGATTAGTCATTTCCTCACACTTATTATGTCACCCCAACTTCTGCCCCTTTCTAATTTCCAATGAGCCATCTTCTTCTAGATTACACCTTGAATTGTGTAATATGTTTTATAAAACAAATTTACCAGTATCTGATTGACCTTTTGAATGTTTTTGTTAAATATAATAAACGTTATCCAGCTTATGGAAATGAATCACTGGCCAGAAAATGTTCCTCACTGTTTACGTCCTTTTGTCATAAATTCGTATTTTTTTATTCCTTCACGTTCCCAGTGGAACATAGCACGTCAAGCTACAGGCTTGAAGTTGCTGAAGCAGTGTTTATTTTTACAGGATGAGATTGCTAGCCTCATGCCCAACCTTTCCTCTTTACAAGATTTTATTTCCGGTTTAACGAAGTAAAGGAGTGCGCCGGCCGAGGATCGAACACCGGACCATGTGAATGGTCGGCGAGTGTCCTAACCACTGTGCCACCGACGCACTTTCTTATAAATGGTTTTTGTTAAATTAGAGCATCTCTCAATTTAACTGGAATGTGTAATTTGGACGTAGCTATTGAATTCAAGAAGAAGACTGGAAATGGTTTTTGATCAATTAAAATGTGGCTTACATTATTACTTCTAACATTATCTATTATTATTATTATTATTGTATCCTTTAGTTCCTAGAGGAACATAGGGCTTCAGCTGCGCACCTCCATTGCCTTCGGTTTTCGGACAACTTTTTCACCCTGCTCCAGGTATGTCCACATGCTTTCATCTCCTCCTCACATGACCTCCTCCAAGTCACCCTTGGACGACCAACTCGCCGCCTCCCTTTCGGGTTCCACTCGAGGGCTTGTCTAGTGATGTCACTTGATGGTTTCCTCAGCGTATGGCCAATCCATCAAACATTTTATTGTCCAGACGTAACAGTCAGGTAACAGAAGGATGTTACCATCTTGAAAAGATTTTTCAGATATTTGTGACTTATTTTTACTTCCAGTGGTGTGTTATATATTTCTCATTCAATGCTTCGCGGGCTACTAGTTTGCAAGATAAAATATGTCCAAAAGTTTTCACGGCCTCTGTTTATTTTAATTCAAGGATCAGCTAATATCAAAGGAAGCTCATGGACTGATAGATCTCTGGGTTAAGAAGAATGAGATATATGATATTCGTGTTCTTCAACTGGCTTCCTTAACTTAAAATGTTAGCTAAAGTGGGATTTGTTCTGCAGAAACCCATAGGGTGGTTAATTGAGAAACATGGCATCTACGAAGTACTTGACAGAAGGTGGAGACAAAATTGTGCAATACAAGAGCTCTTGTGATTGAGATTCACGTTTATATGGTGAAGGATACTACCTTGATTAGCCTGCAACGACTCACAAGCCTAGTCAATAAAGGAGATGATGGTAACTTTCAAGCCACAACGGTACACATATCTCACATAGTAAATGTAACACGCAATGTAACACGCACACAAGTGACTAGTTTTAGCGAAGATTGAGGAATCAATTAAATTATATTTTGTTGAAATTTGTCGCTTGTTTTGAATTCGTGTTGGGGATAGGTGTTAAGTCATTCGTCTTTAATGTATTCTGGACTAATTTAATAAACAAACTGTTACTCTACAAATTCTTTATTTCTTTACGTTCTAACTGAAACATAGGGCTTCAAGCTACAGGCTTGAAGTCTTGGTAGCAGTGGTGTTTATTTTTACAGGATGGCGTTACTAGACTCATCCCCAACCTTCCCTTTTTATCAGTCTGGTAGCTGGTTTAGTGAGGTGAAGGATTGAGTGAGCCGTTGATCGAACCCTAGACCACAGACGTGATTGGCAAGCATTCTACCGCTGTGCCACTGACGTACCCGGCGCTAAAGATGGTGGTCTTTTTATAAAATACATGAACACTTTACATGAGAATACAGCGCTACCAAAAACGGAGAATTTGGATTATTCAAAGTGGTGCTATACAAAAATCTTCTGTAGTTTTACCTGGGTTATTGACAGATCTGATTGTTTGAAATGTGTTGCTTATACGTGTTATATGATTCAAGTCAATTACCTCTCATTGTTTTGTCAAAATTCATAAAGGAAATAAATAATTTTGAATTTTTCAAGTTAAGAATTGTGTTGTATATCATATTTCGGAAGTACAAAACACCAACTGCTTGGATGGCTTAATCTTTCAGAAATACACACTGGTGAGTTTATGGGTAGTGCAGACGATAACTACTACTATCCACAACAGGCTACGATTATTTAGGACTCATTAGGTCTCACTCAGTATGAGGACACAAGATATGTGGTAATAATAAGTACCTGTTCCACCCAGAACCGTATTTCCAGTGAAGTGTTTACTAAAAGACATATTATTTCCCTCATCCTTGTTTGCGGATTAGGATGTTAATATCAAATCAATGTGCACCGTGATGTCCAGCTACCTAGAATGGTGGCCACATTGCAAACCTGACTGATAAAATTCAGTCTGCACCAGAGAAAGGACTAGAAACGTCACACTAGTTACTACTGTCCAATCAAATTACCCACAACAGTCCTACAGGAGATCAATTGCGAGCCAGAATAGCTCAGTGGTAACGTCTCTGACTGCAGTTCTCACTGGGTGACGCGGGTTCAAATCTCAGAAGGGACACGAGTTCCTTCAATTTTGCAGATACGCCTTGCTGACTTGTGATTGTCAACTAGCACGAAACCTAGCTCCAAGGCTTCCTGTGGCCGATTGCCTCCAACCATCTAATATCATCAAATATTTTACATCACCAGTAGTTAAAGGGTAACGTAATAGATTCAGTCATTCAAGAGCACTAAATCAAAATGAGACTAGGAGGCAGGTTGTGGCAATTTATGAGGAACAAAAACATGGACAAACATAAATATAATGGGAAGATTAACTGAACGAATATTTTTCAATACGTTTACAATTAGTAAGTAAAATCACCCGACTGGATGCACTCCGTAACATTATTTCTAACTATCAATTCCAATGGATTTCTGATTGTTTGCTTTTAATGCACGGAAACTATCTGACTCTGATAGCATATCAGTCCATGGTACTGATGCTTCAATGAAGAACTTGATTTCTACTTTGATGTTATTTGCTATGTAGTTGTTAGCAGTGAGATGCACAATGAGAAATTAATTGATAGTCAATAAAAAGTGGGACGATTGGTACTGATTCGAGTTCAAGTGGCTACACTTTTGCACTGAAAGTCAAGTGAGAAATCCTAACAGATCCTGAAAAGGACGAAATAAACATTTCAGATCCCACTGTTAGTTATCACCTACCTGTTTAGCGCAACTGAATTTCAATCGTGACTATAAATTCAGTACTGGACCATATATGTGCAAACCAAGATCACTTTTAAGAGTTTGAAAAAATTCCGGCACCACAACTGTCTCATTTTTATTACACTTTAAAATGCTTTTGTTCAGGAAATTACAAATTCGTAAGACGAATATATATCACGAAATATCTCATTCAGTATACTATTAGATTAAAATTATACAATATGCATCATAACTGCAATTACCTATTTAGGAAGTTTTGATGTGCAAACGGTAAGAGGGGATGTTCATTGAGTCTATTCTTCAATTGTTGACTTGATATATCACTAGCAGAATGCCTTGGTATAACAGAAGGATATGAAACTGGAGTAACATCACCATCTTCAGAAACACGATTGACAGATTCTTTTTTGGTTTTTTCAAAATTATTCTCCTGTTTACTAGGTGACTGTACTCGTCTGCCAACAGTTGAAGACGATTTTCGACTACCAGGTGTTGGTGAATGTAGTTCAGAATCTGACGACAGTGAATCAGAACTGTCAACAACTGTATAAGGTGAATTATTTGACTTATTAGGAAGGCGATTACGTCTTCTTGGGATAACAGGCGGTTTTCTACTGTTACTGGACACCTTTTTTGGTATAATTTCAGAAGTTGGAGTCAAAGTTGATTCTGAAAGTTCATCTGTAAGCAGGGCAGGGCTACATACTAGTCGAAAAGCTACTTCAGGAGTAGACGTTTTACTTGACTGATCGAAATTGTTAAATGGTGAACTTGGTGTATTGACTATGCGAAAAATAATAAAATTTGAGTTAAGAAAAAGAAGAATTAGTATATAAAAACAATAGGATGATAATTATTCAAACTTCAAATATTTTAGTAAATAAATTCAGAGATCCACTGATCAGATAAAAAAAGACAAATGCAGAACCTTCCTCTTTGCAAAGAGAAATTCCAATTGAAACCAGTTTGAATGTACAATTCAGAAGTGATGGACGCTATGCAGCAAGAAAACTGTTGTGAGTCAGTTACATCTTAGTTAAGTCAGCTCAATCAATGCCTGCAATTGGTGCAAGAATGCCCACCAAGGACCACACTCGTGATCGAGTTTAAGAGCGTCTTTTACGTCTACTTATCAATGGAGCCTCACGAATTCACCAGTGGGGTTAATTACATGGATAACAAAGACTATACTTTCATCAAAAATGATGCACTTTCATTGTCTAGACAGAAATGCAGGTGAATCAACAGCACTGTTGCAGAATTTTGTTGCTTTAAAATCATCTACAAAGTTAGTATATGCAGACTATAAAACTCTGAATATGTGAATTTTCAATGAAAACGCCACTCGAATTCCAGCACATTTAGCTTTCCCAACAGTAAATTTTGATTACTTCGAAGTGACAATCTCAATAATTAGTCCTCCCAAACCACTTATTATTATTATTGTGCTTATGATTCTCCTGAACTGTTGTCTCAAATCTGAAAAATAAGCATCGAATAAATCAAAAGCTTTTACTTATGATTTTGTATGTAGGTTGTGTAATTTTCTCGTAATTTTCAGCTTTGAAGTACCATAAATCATGTAGAATTCTCCAGATTTCAGACGCAGTTATAGTTTTAAACTGTTCCACTAGCGCTATTCTCACACCTTTCCTATTCATGTATTCCTAAGCTCTGGAGATAATGTCTGAACATTAAAGCCCTTACTACTGTTCCGCTGCAGTACATTTTCAAGATTGATGTGGTGGTTGACAACGTGTTAGCATTAGTGTGGTGAGAGCAGGCTGCTAGCCAATTGGTAGACATTAATTTACGTCAATGTCTAGGTCACTAATATTGGCCGTGAGAAAATATGAACAAGGCCGACTCAACAACCAATCACAGCAGACTTAACGTGGGCAAATAAGATTCGCAGATATATGGCTTAACTTTCCGAGAAACCAGTCACCTTGAGCAAGAAACAACCAATCAGAAACCTGTGTTTGTCTACTTGAATAGAGCTATAATAATGTACATGAAATATATATAAATAGGTGCTGATTTCCGTAATACAAACGATCTGTTGCTGGCCCTTGTCTTCTGTTGTTACACTAGTAACAAAGTGATACAACTGTTTTATTTAACTTCTGCTTTATTCAGATCAGTCGTAATTCGACTGAAATGAAACCGAAAAAGTTTTTCATTGCTCCAGGGATGACAGACTTCCAATGGATTATTGAATCTCTTCTCAATTTTTAGTCGAGTATCTGTAAATCAGACCAAGACTGTGGCAACCGGAAACAAATAATTTCATGAGTGGATAGGGGGTTCATATTACAAGTCTCTGCGCAGCTTAGGTGTAAAACAAATGATTCAAGTTTATATTCACCTAAACACCTGTACTAACAAGTTTGTAAATTATCCGAAATTCACTCCTATATTATATAATGAAGTTCCACATTAATTAATATTATCAAAAGTGATTTAATCTTATACTTTGACCTTTAGTTCATCAAATAATCTGTTAACAGACATTAGTTATGCATTTCTCTGCATCCTTCTAGATATTTTAATATTTTCTCATGCTAAATTATTTTCCGTGAACTATGACGACTATAAAGTTTTTGTACTGCGCAGGTGAGGTTGGTGTTGTCTTGACTCCCCAAGAATCTAAACATTTTTAGCTGCTTCCCGACGACTTTCAGCTATAAATATAAAAGTAAGTGGATGTACTTATATCATCCTTCAAATGAAGTGAACAATATGAACTGAAAAAGTTCATGAATTCTGATGGCTTTTCTTTTCTTTAGTTTCTCAATAACAGCATATAACGTAACAAATACAAAAGATGGGTGTTAACATAAACTCAATGAAACAGCAATAGTAACAGTTTACGTCTTATGTGAATTCACAACCTTTCTTCTTGGTCATCACTGACTTCAAGAAATAAGTTATCTGACACGAAAACCTTTGGTGTTAACCAAATATTCACTGAAGACAGATCATTAATTACGGGCTGTGTGACAATGTCACGTGTCAGGTGATCCACAACAAGAAACTCAGTAAGGCATTAGAAGTGAATACAGAAGTAAAACTAGGCCGCCTATTATTCCCATTGATATTTCTAATTGTGATGGACTGGATTATACGTCAGACTGTAGACAGCAGGAAAAAAGAAATACGTTGAGCCAATGAGAAAACTCCAGAAGATCTGGATTTCGCAGATGATTTATGTTTAATTCATGAATAATTCCTATTCGAACATTAGTAGACAAAAGACAAGTAGTTCAGCGAAGAGTATCTTTTCGGCGAATTCATTTTCATAGCTGTACAATCGCAAATATATATGGTTATTTTGTGTGTGTATACATTAAATTTGTCAAACGAAAATACAATTAGTAAGTTCAGATGAATTGGATGTTGATAAGAGGATAGCAACAAAAGTGATGAGTTGTCATAAATGATTGTTAAATAAGAGTTACGTAATGGCATGAATAGTTTGATGAATGAGTTGTGCTCAAAGGGTGTACATGGAAACAAAATAATATACAGAATTACACAAGGGTTTTAAGTTAGAAAAATAAGCATACAAACAGAAGTAAGGTCAAATCAAACAAACAAAGAAAAGTTAGGTCAAATCAAAGGAGTAGTTACCATGCGAGTAGAAGTGGTTGGATAATTTTCTTTTGTATGCATAGTTCTGGTTCCTCCAACTGGATGGCTAGGGCTTCTGCGATGCAAAGAAGACGGAATCGTACTGTCTTTGGAAGGTTGTTCTTCACTTTGTAGATTACTTTGAAGGAGGCGTTCGTTGAGATGGAATGACCAGTATTGACGAGATGTTCGATTATTGCACTCCTTATATGGCCATTATTTCCTTTCTGTAGCCACGCTGGATAGTGTTCTTTTACCCTTTTAGACAGGATGCGCGTTGAACGACCGATGTACCTGGCTCCACAGCAACAGGTGAACTGATATATACACATAGAAGTGGTCATGTGCGGAATCTTGTCCTTTGGGTTTCTGCAGATCAGCGGGCGACTGGAGAACACTATTCTTAGTGTTGCCGCAGGGAAAGTTCTTCCTAAAGAGGTGGAAATTCTCCTTCTGAGGACGTCACTAAATAGGTCTCCTTTGAAGTCTAGGTTCATATAAAGTATCTTTTTCGGCACGGATAGTGTCTCTTGCTTTTGGTTTTTCTGTTTGATGTTTTTCTCTACAAATCTTGGTGGGTAGCCATTTTGTATGAAGATTTCTTTCAGGAAGTTTAGTTCTTCTTCCATGGTGTCGGAGCTGCAGATGCGTCTGACGCGAGTGGCAAGGGATTTAATTAGGTTTCTTTTCCGACTGATTGGTACCCAGCTGTAGAAACTTGTTAATTGTCCGTTCCAAGTCGGTTTCCTATGGATTGACCTTCTTAAAGTTCCGTCATCTCTCCTTGTAAGCTCAACATCAAGAAAAGGGATTTTAGATTCATTTTCAGTTTCCAAAGTGAACTTTGTGGCTGGATGGCATTTGTTGAATATTTGCAGTAGTTGATTGAGATCGTGACCGTCATCACAGATGATAAAGATGTCGTCAACATATCTAACGTACAACTGGAAATTGTCGATGGTTGATTTGAGTGGGCCATTCTCGAGGCTTGCCATGAAGCAGTCTGCTAGTAATGGGCCCAGTGGAGATCCCATTGCGATCCCATCTTGTTGTCTGTAAATAATGTCGTTGAATGTGAATTGCACATTTAGTGTACATCTCAGTAGTAGTTCTTTTAAACAGGTCGTCGGTAATCCGATGTTCAGCTGATTTTCGTCGATATAGTGACAAATATAAGAGACAGTTTCTGTGAGTGGAACGTTGGTAAATAGTGATTCAATGTCGAGGGAGAGCATAGTTTTGTTCTTTGTATTGATATCTTTAATGTAATCGACGAATTGGAAAGTGTCACGAAGTGAATGGTGGCACATTCGTTTTCGTACAGGTTCTAAAATGTCAGTGAGCCATTTCGCTATTGAATGGTACGGGGAACCTGACATATCCAGAATTGGACGAAGTGGGAGGTTGGCTTTATGTGTCTTTGGTAAGCCATATAGTCTTGGTATTGTTGACCCTGTCGGTCGGATCTGATCATAGACTTCATGAGTGATTAACGTTTGGGTTTGCATTCTTTTCAGGACATCGGTGAGTTGCTTTTCAATCTGTTCCGTTTTGTTTCTTTCGTTGGGTGTTTGCGAAAATTTTGTTTTATCTGACAAGATGTTGTTCATTTTCTCAATGTAGTCTTTCTTGTCCATAAGGACTATACCGGCTCCTTTGTCTGGACGAGTTATAAGGAGTTCTTCATTTTGTTTTAGTTGATTTAATTCTTCTCTATGTTTTCTTTCTCTATGATTTATGTTTAATTTCACACAAACTCGTTGACCTGCAGGTAGGCGATATCCTACAAACTGACTGAAAAAGCAGGATGGCAGCGAAGACACGACTCCACGTGAACAATCACAAGACGCAGGTGATGGAAGTAACCAACGAACAGTGACAACAACAACAACCAGCACCAATCACCATCCACGGGAAGGATTTGACAGAGGTTACTTTCATCACTTGTCCAAACAACCAGTGTTGTTTCAACCACAGCCAGAGAAACTGAGGAAGATGTCAAAGCTAGTAAGCAAGAATCGGAAAGACGAGATACGCCTTCATCAACTTGAAACAAGTCTGAAAATCTTCTGCATTCCGCCTCAGCATAAACAACAAGATCCTGTTTTTTAACACAAATGTCAAGCGAGTCAGTCATTGCTTCTATACGG